TCTTATCACCATATTTTTACGGGCATCTATGAAGGAAAAGATCAATGATGAGCCGCTGTCCCTTTTCAGAAGTTCAAAATTATTCTTGATGTTGACCTCCATTTTGGGTGTTTCAGGGAGTTAACTCTTGGCCACCTCCTGTCTCTACTTTCCAGATGGGCCTCTGTGTTTGTGATCACATGCTTTTAAGTCTATTTGTGATTTATTGAGAACATAATATGAACTTTTTTCATGTCATGTAGTTAGAAAGTTAGGAACTACAGAAAATTCTTCATTTTGGAATCAGTATTAGATTGGCAACCTGGATGGCATGCTGATCTGGAGACAGATTAAATTTTGTCTCACCGTCATGCATCCAAGTTTTAAATGAGAGAGATTTTACTGTTTTAGCAACAACAACAAAAAAAAAGAAAAAGAAAAACAAGAAAGCTAATTTCTCTGTTCTGACCTTAATATCTCTAAAGATATCATTCAGTTCATTTTTTGTTGCTGACCTCTTGGTCGCTGAGCATTTAACTCATGAATTTTTGCCTTTACAGGAGCATATCCATCTCCGCTGAATTATCATTTCTTCCCAAAGTCTTGCTGCACGTAGGTTGTTTTTTGAATGATCATTCTTTTTAAATGATCATTCTTCAGTATGGCTTGGCTTCAACCGACTGTGATGTTTACTCGTGGAATTTTATATCTATTGTTGTGCAGATCTGTTAATGAGGTCATTTGCCATGGAATTCCAGATGCTAGGTATTCGATTCCAGCCGTTAATTATTAATTTATCTTCTGTTTACTTTTATTTGGTGAGTACATGTGCATGATACAAAAAGTCAATCAGAAGTATGGAATCCCGACATTTTGGTCTGATTTGATTTTACATATTATGCACCACAATATGTTCTAGATAAACAGTCCTTTAAATTATCATTAACGATCAGGTAAGGGGAGACTAAATCTGAAATCACTAGATGAGTGGTGACATGGTGCACTTGTTTTTGTTTGTAGATCTATGATTCCAATTCTTGTAAAATTCTGTTGTAGAACTTAAATTGCAACGGGCATTATGCTAGTTGAAAAACTTCCTAGCAAGAAATTGTTGTGTCGTACATTGTCAAACACCTTGTCCATGTGGTAGTATGCATCTCATGTCTATAAATCATAATTGGGCAGTAGAAATTGTTCAGAGTGCATATATTCAAATCGATTTATCTTCCAACAAAAGATGATGTCAGCTCTGCCAATAAAAAGAGACAAAAAAGTATCCTTCCTGGCATATGGCTTTCAAATCTTTCACTGAAGTCCTATAGTTTCAGGTCGTAGAAACTTCAAGATAGAGGAAATTGGACTATTCATTTTGATTGAATTGAATGCCAGAAGCAGCTGATCGTATCTGATACAGTTATAAGCTTATTTTCTTGTTAGATGAGAATGTTATACTTAATATATGCTAGAACTCAGCTAATGCCCGCAAGCTGTTGTAATAACTGTATGAGCATTGGTCATATGCTAAGTTGCATGGAAACGGGCACGTGTACGGGTGTGCGGGTACGGGTAGGGGACACGGCAAAACTGTAAAATGTTGGGTACGGGGACACGAGAATTAATAATGCACATGAGATAATTTTTTTCCACTTCATGTGTCATTAGAATTAAAATTTCGATCACATTTTTTGAGTTTATTTTATCATATTGATTATCGTGAATTGTAAGCTACTCATTTTTTGTACTAGACATCTAAACGACCCATTAACTATATAGTTTTGAACTTGGGTATAGACTGAAACGAACCCGACCTGTATCCCATTAGTTTCAAAAGACGGATGTGAAGTGTAAGCTCTACGTCTAGGAAGTCTTTGACAAGTGTTTTAAATTAACACACATATCGTCTAATTGAGTACATGTTGTAATAAATGCATGCATATATTCAAGAAGTGTCCATGAAGTTTTGGTACGGGAAAGTGTCGGGTACGTGTCCGGTACGGGTACGGCTTCAATAATGAAGTACCCGGGTAACATAGGTCATCGGACTTCCGGTTCATATCAAATTTTTGCGCAATCAGCTAATCAAGGCAGGACAGATCTATTGAATAGTGTGCCTTTCTTTTCCAACAAAAGAGGATGACAGCTCTGCCACTAAAGAGAGACGAGAAGTATCATCTCCTGGCATTGTCTTTCAATCTTTGTCTCTGAAGTCCAAAAGTTTATGGTTGTAGAAACTGCAAGGTGGAAGAAGTAGTACTATTCATTTGGCTTGAGCTAAATGCCAAAAGGCAGCTGGTTATCTCTGATACAGTTAGATGCTTATTTTCTTGGAAGATGAGAATGTTTTAACTTCATCTATGCTAGAACTCGACTAGTCCCCAAGCTGTTGAAATTACAATATGAGCATAATTCTATTGACTCTGGTTCATATGATTTTTTGTGTATAAACTAGTCAAGAACTGGATAGGCAGGACAGGTCTAATAAAGTGGATTAAGTCAGTAACCTCAAAGAGAAGAGTATACTTTATGAAACTTATGAGAATAATTCTGCAGTTAGGCATATGCAACTGATTGCAGGCATTAGCTTAGTGTTGTGGTATTTCCTGTGATAATAAAAATATTACATTATGCAAAATATTGAAGTTAGCATTTCCAGCAGGAGAAAACATTTAAGATGTAGAAAGAAGCCATGCTAGACAAAAAATCTTATCCATTCACAACAGAGGACTGGAAAGTTTTCTGAAAGCACAATCCAATAAATTCGATCCAAAATGTTTTTCTTATCTGGTATTTAGTGCTGATTGTACAGGCATGACATGAACAATCACATTGTATGGAAGTTTATGATGGAAAGTAAAAGGTAAGGACAGAGACTGGGATACGTTTGGAACGACTAAAAGGGGCTGCACATAGCACCAGTTTATTTCCTGTAGCTTTATTAATTGATATCTGTAGTGATTTGCATGAAAGAACCCTTTGAGCATGGAAATTACCAAATACTTTGCCAAGCCTATGATGAGGCACTGGACCGACATGGTCCTGGCATTGGTTTAATACTCAGACATAATGGTTGATAATTGTTGTTAAATGCCTATATGGATGCAAAAGGTTTTATTTCAACCATTCTAGTAGATCAGAAAGATTAACTAATTCTTTGTTGGCATTGCTGCCATCTAAGGATACATTCAAATTGACTAGTCTCCAGTTTGGTGGTAGAGCTGTTTGACCTTTACGGACTGTTCTTTACATCTGGGCTCTCTTTGATGGTTTCGCCTGCTTCTGACATCAGTTTAACTGTCAAACTGAATTATTTACAGGGATATGATTGATGCTCTAGTGAGTCATATGGTGCCCATCTATTTATTAGATTCTCATAAGAAGAGAGAACTCATTTTAAAGTTTGTTGAACTTACCTTGGGAGTAAGGTAAATATGGTGGTGGGAGGGTTTAAGATTATCAGGACAACAAGGTTTTGTGACTAATTTTTACTACATCCTTCCTACCTATTGAATCTGTCTTTCAGTTATTCTTGTATCATTTGGTAGCTCCTATACCTCCTTTATCTTCGATAATGTTATTTTCCGTGCTCATACTTTGCCTACAGAATACTGCATATGGAACTGGAACTTGACCTCCTTTTTTTCACATGGGAACGGTGATGAGAGATGGGTACTTGTGATAACCCATCAATATGTAAATAATAGTAATTTTGAAATGGATGCTATATTTTCTTCAAATCACGTGAGAAATGGTTGTCACTGCCATGTCTCATAAACTACTTCTCTAAATGTCTGAATGTGCATTCCTCCTGCTGCACTTGATTCATGTTTTCTGGTTACTATCTTCATAGTATCCCATCAGGCTATCTCACAGTTTGTTTATGTTGCAGGAGACTAGAGGATGGTGACATTGTCAATGTTGATATAACAGTTTATTATAAAGGTTGTCATGGTAAGAAAATGTTTACTTAATCTCTCCTTTCTTGGTTTGCTTAAATCCTATTGAACAATATCTATTAAAATAAATGTGCAGGGGATCTTAACGAAACATATTTTGTGGGGAAAACAGATGAACTATCCCAGCAGCTAGTACGTTGTACGTATGAATGCTTGGAAAAAGCTATTTCTATAGGTAGCTATTACTTACTACATGATTTTTGCGATGCTTGTTTCAGGCTTTTGGGTTGATACTAACTTCCTGCTGCAGTGCAGCTGCCATGTCAAATATTCTTAGTTCATTTCTATTGTGTAGTTCGTCAGGCTGAATTCTGCTCTGCCTGGGCTATATCACTCTCTATTCTTGTATATGTAATCAGGGTTGAGTCATTTCTGCTTGCCAAATTGTTAGCAATGAGACTAATTCACAGTCAAATGATGTAAAATGGTTCCTTTTTTTGTTGTTGCGATTGAAATGTGTCTCCCAACAATTTAGTTTTCTTTTATCTGTTCTTTGGAGTATTACACGCAACTCTATGATGTGGGAGTTGTCCATCTTAAGAGATTGTTGATCTAAATTTATCTTGGAGCACCAAATATACGTAGGGTCTTAGGAGGTTATTACTAGAATCTACTACAAGTATAAGCAACTCTGTGTCCCTTCCTCTCCTTATCCCCCTCTCCTCGTTTTACCTCTCGACTTTTCTTTTCTTTTCTTACATTGGCTGGATGCTCACTGAACTGCTCAATTTCTTAAATCCTTGTCTGACCAACGTAACACTGCACCACTTACAACTCGATCTAATCCCAATTTGTCCACAATTTCTCTCCCACCAACCCCTATCATACACATACACCCCCATCCACCAACATACAACATTTTCACAATGATGTAATAGGCTTAGTTTTAAGAAAAATCTGCTAATTATGGCTGTGCATAAAATGTTTAATCGCTTATTAGTTTACGTCCCTTGACTTTTGAAAATTGCATGCCTGGTACATATTTGTCTTTATATGGTTACTACAATTACATATTTTTCAAGTTGTTTATTTAAGATTGAACAATGATTAATAGGAATTTTGGCTTGTTACATGTCTATTCTTACCATCACTTTTTTCTTCCTTACTTGCTAAACTCTAGTGAATTGTTCTATCAGTTCTGCGTGGCCCGCATCTATGGGATTTCCCTTTTTTAATTACTATGTGGACATTCTCGTTCTACTAGCACAGGGGAAGCCTTTGTTCGAAACTTTTTTTTGGCTTGCTACATGAATTTGTTTCTTTCAGTGAACTCCATTAGCAGTCATCTTCTAAGATGAATTAATAATTGTGTATTGCCTTGCTTTCACCGATGATTGTGTATATCTAGTCATTGTTGGCTTGTTGCTAAATTAATTTGATGCTATTGATTTCCTTACTTGCAAACTTCTCTCGTCCATTGGACATGTCTAGAGCTTCTCAGTTGGTCTCATTATGTCCCTAATGAAAGCAACCTATTACTTCTTATTTGATGCAATAGTAGTACCTTATAGATCTGAGTTGGTTCTCCTCATTATGCCCCTAATGAAAGCAACCTATAACTTCTTATTGATGCAATAATATCTTATATAACCATCATAATGCATTTCAGCTTATCTATCTTAGCATTCTCATTTTAATGCATAAAGCATTTTGTACCGATAGTATTATATAGAATTTCCTTTGTTTTCATGTATATTTGGTCATCACATAATAAGTCAGAAGCTCTACTTCATGTTAACTATCCCACTTTGATTATGTAAAACATTCACTCTTTGATCTCACCATCTTGATGAATGGTTGATGGACCTTAAGCAGTGACAATGTCCACTTCTCCATCTTCATCTTCAGTATTACTATACATCAATATGCAGTATATTGTATGTTAGGTTATAAGTTATAACATCTTGCTTTTCTGAAGCGAGCTACAATGCATCACCTTATACAGAATTTGGGGTATGGACTGGCTATTGGCTATATTATTTCTGTGAACTTTGCAACATCATTGGGTAGTTTATTGTATGTTAGGTTATAATATTCAGTGCCTGCTCTGAAAATCTGCTTTTCTTGAGCAAGTTGCCGTATTGTATGTAGTAACATCACATCTTTAGTTCATCTTATACAAACTTTGGAGTGTGGCCTGTTTGTAATGCTTTGTTTCATTGTTCTTTACATGTTTGTTCTAGACGTGTTATTATATACCCTCAACTGCATAAAACAACCTTTCTTGCATGATATATTAGGATTTGTGCATTGTTAAGACTTGAAACATGTTTCCTATTTGCTCTTTCATCTGTGAGAAATGGAGCAACAATAACTACTGCTATGATATAGCATCTAGTTCCTATGACTAGTTAGCTACAAGAGGTCTTTCCATGCTAACAAAACTGCATTTGCTGCAAATTGATGAACCTCTATTAGTTGTAATTAGTTGCAATAAGATGCATCTATTAGGTGAAATGCCAGCTCCAAATCTCATTCATATTGCTCCCAATTTCTATTCTCCTTTTCCACTTATGAGATGGGTTTCCAATTTCTGTATGTTTGCAGCATAACACATTCTTAGTAACATGGTAAATTACCAGTCATTCACCTCGAAGCCTCGAACCATATACATGCAAACAAAGAAATTGAGCAAATTGCCATTACTGTTGAACAAATCAAACAGAAGTTGCGTTCTCACTTTCTGCTAGGGTCAATCATTTATATTTGGTACTATTGTATTATGAGTTTGGATCTCAAATTGATTCCAGTTGGGTCTGTTGGATAGTCACGAAGTTCTTTTTTATGTGCACTTGAATACAGTCTGGCTTCTGCATGAGGTCCATGTGTGTACCTTAGCTCTTGATATGGGTTTTGGTTTGTCCAAGTTAAAACTTTTGAAGATTAGGTGGAACAAATTTAGCTCTGGTAGTTTGGAGTCTGGTATGGTTGTATTTGTGGAAGTACTGGCAAAGTCTTGGCATTGCATGAGCTTCATACTCCAATCCATATTAGTTTATCTTTCTTATTGATTGGATCTTAGCTATGACAATAATATGCAACTTTGCATCTTCTGGGTGCCTATGTGTGCAGCACAATGAAAATACATTGGACACCTTTGACACTGATTAACTTTTCTATGTTGAAACACGTGTCGTTCATAAGAATCATAACTGAATCATAACTTTCTACTTCGTTGAATTTTATCTTTATCATTATTTGACAGACCTATGATTTGTGAGAACCTTTTGAACAGTTGTTTCAGATTTGCAACTTAAGTTATCGATTATGAGCCCCTGTTGCTTTTGTTATTATAAGCAGTTAAACCTGGGGTTCGATTTCGTGAAGTTGGAGAGGTCATTAATAGACATGCATTAATGTCTGGATTCTCTGTGGTAATTGTGGCTCTTTGAATTCCGTAAAGTTTCATTTAGTACTCTTTTGTTCCGTTTTTATTCAATCGCCTAACATATAGGATCTATGATTCAGGTGAAATCATATTGTGGACATGGGATTGGAGATCTTTTCCATTGTGCTCCTAATATTCCTCATTACTCTAGTATCCTTGTTCTGATAAATTTCCCTGTGATTTTAGTATAAGTAACATTACTTAACTATATAATTTTTTTCAACTTGATTGGTTTGTATTGACAATATCTTTAAGACTTGCTAATCAATTGGATTCCAACTTATTTTTTGTTGGAAATGATGGTGCACTTCATGATTATTGTCTAACCCATTAACCAATATATAAGTCAAGAAGACCCAATCATAATGAGAAAAAAGAATTCTAAAGGAAGAATGCAGATAGAGAGGAAGAAAAGAATAAAGGGAAATAGAGTGGGTCAATGTGAAATAGGCCTCACCGTATGCTCTCCATGCTTCTACCCGGACCGTCTGTCGATAACTATGATTTTGTGTTGAGAAGGAAATTATAAGGTATCATTAGTTTAACCTGTCAGGTGAATGACCCAAATCCATTATCCACGTACCATTTGTTTTGAAGTGGTCTAGATTCTCATCTAGAATTCCAAGCCCACAAGTGAATAATTCGTCCATAGAGTTGGCTTGATTTGAAGCTACGTTACCTCAAAGTGTTTAAATATTCTTTCTATTTCATTAGGTCCTTTTTTTTACATTTTGTTCATGTAAAGCTATTTAGTGGTCTTGTGTCCTTGTTCTAGCTAATAGGCAAATGCTTACATAAAACTGATGTTTTTTTTCTTAAGAATCCTTTACAAATCCTTAGAACTTAATGCACTTCAAGGTAGTGCTACATTATAACAAAATCCTTTATAGGGGCTGAATTTCCATGTAGAAGGGAACAAATTGCTTTAACTCTATATGACTTTGTGAGAAAAGTAATATATAATATCTTTTTACTTGACATTTTTTTTTGTTCTAAAATCAAAGCTGCAACTATCATATCAAACCTGAGACAAAATGCCAATAACTGAAATTTCTGCAACCAAGACGTAGACTGTAAATTGATAATTTAAAACTTGGGTTCTTTGGTCTTTATAAAAGTGAATTACTCGTTAGAGCTATGCTCCACTTAATGTCATATTCTGTAGCAGTCTGTTGCGCTTGTTCCCTTAACATATGTAGGAAATAAAGCAGTTGGTATGATGAAGGCTGGACAGACATTTACAATCGAGCCCATGATAAATGCTGGTGAGTTCTTGAACTTTATGTAAAGACTTCTAATTGTTGTTTCTGTATTTTGTACTATAAGAGCTGTTGATTGCAGGAGTTTGGCGTGATAGACTTTGGCCTGATGGATGGACAGCAGTCACTGCTGATGGTAAACGAAGTGCACAGTTTGAGCACACACTTTTGGTGAGTAGACCCTTTGTAGCTGTTATGTTATCAAGTGTGGTTTCTCTTATCACTGAATATTTTGCTCGAAATGGTGTTTGCTTCTTTACATCTTGCATAGAACTATTGAAAATTCATTGTGTATATGGTCGTTTCTAGGCTCTTCACAATTAGCCCTTTCGGTGAAAGTGTCTGTTATCTGTGTTTCCGATGCACTTGTAACTTGCTGGTGATCCAGGGTTGATTGAACTCCCATCAATATTTTGATCAATATGAATGGAACATATATGTCATTCTCCCTTGTTCACATCTCTCTTGAAAATACAAAAGTGATATTGCCTTTTCTCGGATCCTTTTTTCATTATTTATATTGGGGTTCCTGTGGTTTTACCCAGCTCTTCAGGTTTTGGGATTTTTCTGCAGAAACTGTTGTATGCCTGTCTTTTAGTTCCTCATTATGACTTAAGGTATTCCCAATTTTGAGAGATATAAACCTTAGTTCTCTACATGATTGGACCAATGTTCTAAAAGGCAGTTTATTATGCGGTCAGTCTGGGCATGAGAAAAGGAGATAAAAATGGGCTAATTAAAATGTTGTGGCAAAAGTATGTGGTAGGAAAAATTATGGAAAGATGGGGTTACGGTTCTTGATGAGTACTTTCAAGGATGCATGCGTCTTGCATTCAATCTTTTGGACTCTTAACAGGTTTTAAACCTGCCTTTTTACTGTTACTTACTATTTGCAACACGAGCCCTTTGTAGCATCGATAAGGTTTGATTGGTTAGTATGGGAACATTCTCTTGGCATTTTTAACCATAATCTGTATTGTGCAGGTGACAGAGACAGGAGTAGAGGTTTTAACAGCAAGGTTGCCGTCCTCGCCTGATGTTTTTCCTTGGTTGAATTAATATTATCTAGAGCTGAAGTTTTGATGGATTCCCGATTTAACTGTAACCTAACCAAAAGATCACTCCTCTGCGCTTTGTTTGAGTATTTATCTATGTGGTCCTATTAAACAGGGGTGTTATATTTAGATTGTAATGTCAATCCAATTAGTATAACTTTTATCCTTAACTAGATTCCTGTTTGAAATTTTGTTCATTTCAAATTTTAGTCACTTTGCTGAAAGTTTATCCTAAAATATAAACTCCTTTGTTGAGTGATAGCGAGAGCGAAAGTTAAGATGAATTGTGTGTACCATGCCTACCAAATATTTGCTTATAATGTCAGTAGTTCCATTATCAAAGCTGGTGTTTAATCCTGTAAGTTTGCTTGGGTAAATAATCTCTTTGGAGTTTGTGGTCTTTGATTCTGCATTGTATGTCAACTGTTGTTGATGGATATTTGAACATGAAGCCTGTTGTGAATTGGATTGAAGCGTGAAGTATCAGTTAAAAATGTTGAGGTAAGACTAATGCTTTAAGCTTTCAAGTCCGAATACTCTTCAAAAGTTAGGATTTAGCTAGTCCTAAAAATCGGTTGCTTTTAGCTGTCAATTACGCTAAAAGCACAACATTTTATTCTAGAATCCTTTCCTTAAACATAGTATATGGAATTCTATTAGGCTAAGAGTACCGAGTTTTATTCCTAGAATTGTTATTCCACTCAAATCCTGAAATTTTTAGTGAAGCAAAGAGACCCTAGGAAAAGTATGACCCATAAGAACATTTGTAGCGGTAGCTTTATTTTCGATATACGTAGGATACTTTTCTTCTATGTTTCAAAGTTTTTAGATAATATGGTTAGTAGCATCAATACATTTAACGAAAGAGAACTGTAGGGGAATTATTTCTCCTTGCTTTTCAAGAACGATTACAGTATGGAATACAACTTGTCTTTGATAAATGAGCCGAACTCTTGTGAACTTTTAAGTAGAGGCATAACTACTTAAAAGTATGCAGTCGATTAGAATGTGTGTGCGCGCGTGTGCGTACGTGTGTTACGTCTTCCCCTGCTACATTTATAATACTGAATACTCAGACTTCCAAATAAATGAGATTCTCATAGACTGGTACGTATCCCGGATAATTTGTGTCATGAATATAATTCTGAGAATACTATAGCTTGAGCAAACAAGGGTAAACTATAGCTTGATCAGAAGAAATGCTCCCGCGCTAGCTGGGTGGTTTACGTGCTTTACCCGTGCAGAACGCGGGAAGGGTTCTGGTCGAGTTCAACACCTCAATAGTAATGCAACCTGACCAGAGCCCGCCCCCGTCGTCTCACATAAATTGAGTCCAGATACATTAACCAAATCCGCATGCTAATTCTAGCCAAAAATCAAATTATACAGTTGCTCAAAGTAAATTGAGGGTTTCATCTCTCACGTGACTCACCTCACCCAAACTCCGTGTCCCTCTCGTCCGCTAGAATGTGCTTGATCGGCAGAATCTTGTCCATTTATAATCTAGAAAGGCAAATTCAATACGCCCATAAAACTACTACCCGAATTCACAGTAACTTGTTTCATTGTTCAAGATCTATCACCTTAAACTTATGTTCATCTGCGGTCATTCTTCAAGATCAATTACCTTAAACTTATGTTCATCTGTGCCTTAGACAGCCATCAATACAAATTGCCGACAGTCGTAACTGCTAGCAAAAGAATGGAGCCTAATAGAATATGCTGATAGTAATTGTAGTAAGACGAGCCTATCAGAATAGCAGATGAGCTTGTCGAACCGGAGGTCGCGACTAGTGGTATTGAAGTTGCGCCCACAGGCGTGCATATGACTACGTCGTTTCCCCATCGGTTGATGTGGCGTCTGTGGTTTCTACCACAGTGGATGTTTCCAGCGTGTTGGCACGCTTGCGCCATTCCTCTTATCGGGTAGTGAACCAACAAGCCCCAGCCACTTCTTCAACAGTAATGGATGTATTGGTGGTTTCTGTAAAAGCGGGTCCTTCGAGTCGTGCATGAATTCCACAACCTCCTAACCCAGATAATTTGATCAGGTTGGAGATTCAGATTCTGGTCGAGAGCCTAATGAAGCAATTCAACGGAAGTGTCGAATCTGCTTTGGCTACGCAGAAAGGGTTATCTGCGAGCACTCTTGCTTTGTTGAGGAACCAACTTGGCCTTTTGACCTCGATTACAGGAACTGTACGTACTAAATTGTTTAAGAAAATTGATTGACGAGGTTGAGCTTCAATTTCAAGAGTTGCAAAGACTTCGTGCAGGTGATGTTGATGGCATTCCCGAGCTTGAATTTCACCAGCTCTCGGTAATACACCGTGAGGTTGAAGAGTTTGTTCACAAGGAGATGGAACAGATCAATGAGAGGCTTCAAGAACTAAACAATAGCCTTGCATTGGTTGACGATAATCAAGCGAAGCTTAACAAAGTCATTCTAGAGAGGGAAACCACCATAAATAAGGCCAAGGCGGTCATAGCTACAGCTCAAGCTCGGTTGGAAGCAGCTCAATGGAAAAAGGAGGAGCTTGAACTTAAGACGGCCTAATTGACTAGGAAGTGAGATCTCAAAGTTGTTGAACTTCAAGCCGAGACGACTAGATTGGAGGCCGTTAGAGTTCAAGCTGCTAGTAACGATTCCAGGAATCTGAAGGAGAGAGCCTAGAAGAACGCTCTTGAAGCTTGGATTCCAGGATAGCCGAGTGTATTACTCGAATACAATCTTTTAACTCATATTCCCTTTAGAATTTTTATAATAGATTGGCTCTCTTAATAATAAAAGAACTTTTGCCCCTTTTGATATGTGTATGATAGAGGTACAATATTAATGTATCGTATTGATATCCTGGCTAGAGAGAAAATGATAGAATCAAACTGATAGAGGTGCAACGTTAACGTATTAAGTATGATTGAATTGGTATTGTTCAGTGGTGTAGTGTTCATATGACAGTGTTACAGTATTTGACAGAGGTGTAATGTTAACGTGTCAAATTGAACTTCCCACAAAGGTGTAATATTAACCGGTCAGATTGGAAGGGGTCCAATGGACAACTACCATTTGAAATGTAATGTTAACTTAACGGTAAAAAATCGATGAAAGTGTAATTTTAACTAAATAATTTTTGGTAAGAACGGATTAACAGAGGCGTAATGTTAATCTGTCGAATCTGAAAAGACATGTAGAAAGAGGTGTAATGTTAACTAGTCGATGAAATGTTCCGACAGGGGTGTAGTGTTAACTGGTCGGATTATTAGAGTGGAAACTGTTCAGATATATAATGTTAACATGACAGTGGTAATGCATTTGGAGTCAAACTGAGGTGTAGTGTTAACTTGATGACTCACTGGGGGTTTTAATTGGGATATAAGATCAAGATGATCAGGACTTACGGATAGAGGTGGAAACATGAATGTGACTGATGTTTTTTTTTGGGGGGTGGGGGGGTGAAATTGGTCAGGATCAAGGTTAATATTTCTTGAGAAATTTTCCTTTGATTGGTGTTATGAGCCTATTGTCATTTGGGTCAATTAGGCGATATGCTCCATTTGAGTAGGTTGTCTCTACTACAAACTGGTCTTCCTATTTGGGTTAGAATTTACCTTTAGGGGGGGTTAGTCATCTAGAACTTAAAACTGGAACTGGGATAATTTGTGGGATAAATTTTTAAGGTGTTAGTCACATAGAACTAGGAAATGAGATATTTTTTTATAGTGTTAATCAAGTAGAACTTTTGTAGAAGTAGAACTGTATTATTTTTTTGGTGCGTTAGTCAAGTAGAATTCTACTAGAATTAGAATTGGGATAATTGGTCATAATTATCCCACAAATTATACTACCTATATATATAACCATAAGTTCTCCTCTCTCAAATTATCCCACACATTGGAAAGAATACAATTGGGAAAAAAAGTGAAACGCCGCCTCCCTCCTTCTTGGTTAGTTTCTCCGCCAAGAAAATTTCCCTGCTATTAAGTCAATCATCCGTTCATTTTTTTGTCTTTACTTTGTTTTCGTGATGATTAGATCTTTTATTATTATCTTCAAGATATATTACTTTATTGATAGCTTTTTGACGTTAAATTACTTTATTATTATTTGTTTGATCTAAGTTTTCTCTCCACAACAGTGGTTTAGGTTAAGAATATAGTGTTGGTAGGTTAGTGCTAAAGATGTGCGGGCTATTTATGTTTTTTTTATAAGTTAGAAAGCAACTTTGCGATCACATTGATGATTAGATGTTGAATGGTTAATGGTGATATCTATTATTATTAAATTGGCTCAGTAAATTGATTGGGATATTTATAGTTCATCTGTCGATCATCTGTTTAGCGGTCATGGATGATTCTTGTGTACATTTCATTTATTTGCTGATTTGGTTTTAGCGATCATGATGAGATTGGTCCAAAGGGTTAATGGATGAAAAATGCTTATTTTTCTTTCTTTATGATGTTATGAGATTTGAACTTCAACATTTATGATCCTCCGCTAGAAGCTCCACGAAATGTTGCTGATGCAGACAATGACTCCGATAAAGAAGACGAGTTATAGACTCAACGAGCAGCTGTAGGAGCTTGGAGAAATTCTATGGCAGATGCCATATGGGATGATAAAAGCCATATGAGATAATGAAAGTCGAGTCACTCTAGGGATTTAGATTTTATTTATTTGTAAATTATTTTATTATTTGATATGAATAGTGATGCTTTATTGCATTATATTTTATAGTTATTACTAGAATTTGCTTATCAATATTATATTATTTTTAATATACAATTATTAACAATATTAATTTATACCCACCATTACCCCCACCAAATTATCCTACCAAATTATGCAACTTCATAATATTATCCATCATTATCTCACCAAATTATCCTACCAAATTATCTCACTTTAAGAACTACCCATCATTGTTCCACTAAATTATCCCAGTGTCAAAATATTATCCCACTTTACCAATTATCCCAGTTTCCACTAAATTATCCCAGTGTCAAAATATTATCCCACTTTACCAATTATCCCAGTTCTACTTAAAAAGTTCTAGGTGACTAAAATATTATCCCACTTTACCAATTATCCCAGTTCTACTTAAAAAGTTCTAGGTGACTAACCCCCCCTTAGTGTTATGTGTCATGATCATAGGTCAACGAACAACTAAGACTAGGTCACCTTCTTTGAAGGATCGCTTCTAATGATGTTCTTCAGTCATCAATTCATCTAGTGCCTCTAATTCTTGGAGTCGCTTCTAATGATGTTCTTCAGTCATCATCATTTCGGCTAGGGCGATTCTTAACAATAACATCTGAATTTCCAACGATATTACGGCTTCACATACATAGGCCAAGGTGCAAGGCATGGAGCCAGTGGGAGTACAGACTGTTATTCTGTTAGTCCATAAACACTCTCTAAGTTTCTCGTCTCGATCTCTCTTGTTGGAGGAGATGAACTTCTTTAACAGTTTGATAATGGTTTCATTGAAAGCTTTAACTAGATCATTAGCAGGCAGGTTATACGGCATCGAAGCCACATCTTAAATTCTGAATTCGTTATAAAATCTGAAGAACGATTGACTGGCAAATTACGGACCACTGTCGTGGATAATCCTTTGCGGGACGCCAAACCAATAAATCATGTGGTGTTTCAAGAACTTAATCACATGAGATGTCTTGACTTCTCTGAGTAGAACAGCTTCGACCCATTTAGAGAAGAAATCAGTGATGGTCAGGATGAATCGATGGCCTTTATCGAACGGTGGGCCAATCAGCCTGATGATGTCCATACTCCATGTTTCAAATAGCCAATACAATAGTTGGATGCAACTCTTCTAGAGGTTGGTGTAGAAAATCGGCGTGGACTTGGCCCGCATAACACCCTTTGGGATAAACCGCTACATCTACTATCAGCGTTAGCCAGTAACAACCAAGATGATGAATCGATCCTGAAGTTTAGGGCCTAGCTGATGATAATCATCATGGGCTTCCCTTGAGTGCTTCCCAAGCTTCGCTTGGTGATAAACATCGAAGGAGCATTCCGTCAAGTGATCTATGATACAAAGTCTCTGTAGTAGAATTATAGAAAAAGCATGAAGCTCTTCTTTGGATAAAGATTGTTTGCTTTGGATTATCTGAAAGTATTTCATGCAGGACGTAATCAATAATCGGGAAACATTAATCATTAGTCTCGAAGTGAGTTGGCATGACATACCCTTCGTTAGCTTTTAGAATTTGCTCTAGGGAAATGGAACTTCCAAACAAGGTTAAAATTAGAATTTTTTTCCCCTCCCTCTCTCTACCCTCCATCCAAACAAGCCATTAGTTTTGATGGACTCCTGTTTCAACAGTACCCTAACTTGAAGATCATTCCTTTGCACTTTGTTTGAGTGTTTATTGATGTAGTCCCTATCAAGCAGAGTTTATGTTTAAATTGTAGGGTTATGTCAATCCATTTTGTGGAACTGTCTAAAATTTTGTTCCCTTTAATTTTTAAGGCAGTTTTTGCTTATAGTTTGTTCCAGAACATGAATTCCTTTGTTCAATAGTTTTGTTAATGGCTTTTACGTGGTAGACAGGGCCGGCCCAAGCTTTTTTGAGGCCCTGTGCGAAATGATAAAATGAGGCCCTCTTCTATATAAATGTTGAACTATAAATTTATTGAATTATATTTATTGGTGTGTTTCCTAGTTAATAGGGAATAGTTAATTGGGAATTAATGAGTTCAAATTGAATTTCCTAAACTTTAGGAGACAAATGAGCAACTAATCATAATTGTAGTACTAATTGGTGTATATTTCCGGTAAAATGTAAATCAGATGGGTCATGGGTGTTAGGCAGTTAGGCTTAGGCAATGAACATAAATTATTATTTAATTTAGTGGGCTAGTATTAGATTATTAGGCCCTTTTTTAAACAAACAAAAGACTTATTGGAAAGAATTAAGAAATATACTATGGGCATTTTTAAAAATTTGGGGCCCCCTTTGAAATGGGGCCCTGTGCGGTCGCCCCCCCTACCCCCCTCTTGGGCCGGGCCTGGTGGTAGAGAATGTAATCAACTGTGTGTATACCATCATGCCTACCAAATATTTGCTTATAATGTGTGTCGCTATATTATCACTTGAGCAAATAATCTCTGAATTGTTTGAAGCCCGCGATCTGCATTGTATTTAACATTTTACTGATGGATACTTGAACATAAAAACATTTGTATCGGTTGCAATATTCGATTCACTTGGAATATATTTTTTTTCTTCTATTTTTGTGTTTTTAATAGAATAATAATAATATGGTTAATAGCATTTGCATATTTAGAAAAGCCAACTCTAGAGGAATTACTTTTCTTTACTTTCCAACGATGACGACGATACAATGAAATACAACTTGGCTTTCATAAATTGTTTTCCTTATTTTTTCCTCAATTTCTCTTAATTAGCTTCTCTTTCTATTTATTAAGAACAAAAATAATGAATAAATCAGCAGAATAACTTTTAGGATTCTACTAATTAAAGAAAATATTATTTGCTTTTAAACTGGTGTTTTTTTTTAATGAAGGGTCCTCTGGACATGTAAATGAAAGTCAAAGTGAGGCATGAATCTAAATTAAATCTTCTGCAAGTGTGAGAGCAAATAAAAATTTAAGAGTTTTCTAAATAAAAAATAAAAAGGAGTGTAAAACCCAAAATGTAGCATAGCGTATATGAAGAAAACTGTCCTCTTGCGAGTAAGTATAAAAAATAAGTCCCTTCTCTCTCCAATTTGAAGCTTATGGGAGGTTATTTGAATCTAATGATTAGTTGAGGATAGTTTTATGAAATTAACCCAATTATAGAATAATAAAGAAATTAATATAGCAGTTATTTATAACCTAATTTCTATCGCGATGATCTACTCAATTGAATTTTCAAGCAACCTCTGCCACCCCACCCAATAGGGCTGAGCATGGTTCGAGCCAAACTGATCGAACCGAGCCGAAATTAGTAGTTCGGTTTCGGTTTTATTTGTAGAACGATTCGAGTCGGGTTGAAAACTTTTCAACCCAAACCTACCGAACTAATAAGTAATAACACGTAACCAATACCCATTAACCCTCAAACCCGACCCGACCCGTCCCTCAAATATCAACGCTTCAACAAGTAAACCCTAAAAATCCCAGAATCCCAGCCGCCACTTCCTCTCTCTCTCTCACTCCCTGTCCGACGCCGCAGTGCCTCGCTCTCCGATCTCCATTCCCGCCTTCTCGGCACTCCGCCGCCAGCCGCCAAATCCCTAGAAAGTCGCCTATTTCAATCCTCAGTCCTCTCTCAAGTAATCCCTCTCTCAAATTCTCAATCCAAATCTCTCAAAGTCTTCAGATTTCTCTCTACAATCTTTTCTCAGTTACTCGTCAACAGGTTGGCATTATCATCGGCAAGCTAAGCCCTAATTCTGATCGAGGCCTTGTGTACGATCTGATCCCAACTCCTCTCACCGACGGTGGATCTCCCGCTTGCGCTCTCAAATCTGTACCTGCTACCAGAGAGGACAAGAAGAAGGGATCCAGAGGCGGGAAATCTTCGAACGAGTCGCCGCCTTCGATCGAAATTGACAGCAATTGGGTCGCTGAGCACGCTAGCAATTGGATCGAAATTGATTGAGATCAGATCTAAGTAAAGGGGAGCAAAGAGATTGAGCTTGATGTCGCAGAGGAGAGCCGCGGCCGTTTCTGGTCGGCCATCGGGAACTGATGGCTCCGATTTCTCCTACAGAATGGTTGTTGATTCCAGTAAGTCCTTAAAAAAGAGGAATTAAATTGGAAATTGTTCTGAGTTATTTGTTTTAGATTTTATTAACTTTTGATCCTCCACCCCCTTTAATAATTATATTGTGATCACAGGATACACAAAAGTTGCTAAGGGCAAGTTGAGACTGAAAGCTCTGATTGCTGCTCAAGTTAGTGAATTACTCCTCCTTTAAACATTGCCTACAATGTTAGACCTATAGAAATTGGGTAAAGTTTCACCGTGAGATTTATAGTGCACTCATGATTCCATAGTCAGTTATACTAGTACTAAGCCCTGGCTAAGCACCGTCTCCTTTAATTTCTTTTGCAGAACCTTTACTTACCCCCCATGTATTGTTTTATTTTGTGCTTAAATATTTGTTATCCTTTGTTAAATTCTTTTGAATATTTTTTTATATATTTAAACTTTGTTTGAAAAAGATTGTCTAATAATATAACCCCTTACCAAATAATAAAGATCCGATTACTTAAATCACCAAAATTTAAATAAGAACCTGACATAAATCTCATCCTTACTAACAAAAAATTAGCATAAAGATAATAAGTCAAAAAATCTAATTATTCTAGATAAGTTCATCATGAAAACTTCTAACATTTCTCTAGCTCACTGAATTTAAAACTTTCTCATAAATACAAACCATGGTAAATAAACTAACACTATTAAAACCTCTCGAAAGATTAGTATCAGTAATATAGTAACATCTTCATAGCAAACAAAAAAAAAAAACCACAAACACAATTTCGAAAGATTAATCTCAAAAGTCAAAAAGACTTTGCACAAAATTCAGCAATATTAAAACTTAAAGCACAACAAATATAAGTCATAATGATAATATTACTCAAATTCCATTCATCATCTAAAATCTTTAGCAAATTGTAAACCTATAATTCAACCAACACATTGCATAAATAAAAGTATTCAAATTTAAATGATTGCAGTATTCAGAGATAGAAATGCCAGCTTGTTCTTCTCCTTACACACATGACACTGTAGAGTCATAAAATTCCTAGGAAATGTTCTTTTTTCCTCCTACAAAAAACCAAGAAAAAAAAACACATTCATTTAAACAATTCAATAAAAAAACAATCTCAAAAACTAATTTTACTGAATCCTCTCAAGGTATGTCATGTCTACTTGATCTTTGCAGATTTTAATTTCCTCTCTACAAAACAAAATCAGATTATGGGTGAAAATATTTGTAATCTTTCATAATAAACATTAAAAAAAACTCAATAGAGGAATCATATGCTTGTATCTAGCAGACACGTACATGCAATTTAATTCTGTAGAGTGCTTGACGTAGTCATATATTGTTATCATTTGTAAAATATTACAATGTAGCCTTCTAAGAACTGGACAATTGGAAAGTGGTAAAAAAATGACATTTAAGAATTATTGAAGTGAAGAAATAAGCACAATTTCTTTTGGCAGGGTAATCAGTGTTCAAGGCTTACTTATGACATATCATGGAAATTTCATTCTCTCTTCCAGGAGACATCTCTGTCATTAAAAAAATTGTAATAAGAAAAGAAAAAAATTATGCTTTGCATGGGTCTGTAACAATGAAGCTAATGCAATTTGTAAATGTCGTTAACTTAAGCCTTACTATACCTTTCTTCTGCTCCATTTATTTTGGTCTTATCTAACATAGTAGCAGTATCTGCTAATAACATGTGCAACAACTACAGATTCTAATTATTTTCATTAAGTATGATAATTTTACAGTAATTGTGTATGTATTCATATGAAAAAAATCCAATAACTAGTAGTTGTATATAACTATATATCCACTCTCAAACAATGTTAGGCATATCCTTGAGCACCTTATTTGCACCTTTTTCTGCCAATCTAGCGTATTTCCTATTGCACAAAGATCATACATTGGCAATTTCTTTAAAATTTAACCAAATTATTCAACATCCTCACAAAAGCAAGCAGGAAAAAGAGTAGTTAACATTCTTTGAATCAAAGAAATTATCTAAATAACCACAAATACCAATAAAAACGTGCATCTCCCAAATTCCATGGACAAAGAACAGAAATTACCAAAAAGGTTAAAAAAAATCCGCTTATAGAAAGAGAAAATATATCAATTAATCTATTACTGTCACTTACCTCCTACAGCAAGTTGAAGTTCCCATCTAATATCATGGTCTGAGAAAAAGGAATTAGGGGGAAAATGAATTAAATTTCAAAGTAAACAAATGAGGAGGAAGATTCAATTTTTTCTTTTGTAACCTTTAGCATATTTTGTTTAGTGTTTTTAGTTTTATTTGCACTCTAATATTAATGATTAGTACTAAAAATTATCTTTAACACATCATCCAAATCCATTCGTCTCAAAATCAAGCAAAAACATGAAACTTGCACTGAAGCTTAGAAAATTAACAATACTCGGATGGGTCTGAGCCAAATCAGGACTTTTCTCCATCTAAGTCTTCCCAAAATTTGATCTTTCCATCACTTGTCCAAAATATTATCAAATCAAGAATTTTTTAGCACTACAAAATATACAACAATTAGAACTTTACCCTTAATTGAGATCGAAATAATGAGGTTTGAGAGATAAAGGCGGTTACCATCGAGCACTTGATGATGGTTGAATGAAGGCAACGGATTTGAGCTGAGCTTGAAGCACTGAGCTATGGTGAACAGAAGAGAAAGGAGAAGAGCCATAAAAAGAAAAGAATAGGGGGCCTTGGGAGTGGGTTTGAAGAGAGGGAGAGAGAAAGGGGAGAGGATGGATTGATATGGTGATAAAGAGAGAAAAGAAGTAACTAATTGGAGAGGACGGTTTATTTTAGGCAGTGTATTCTGGTGATCTTTCCCTGTGGTGGAGTGATGTGGGTTTCTTTTGTGTTAATCGTGAGTTTTTTTTTGTGAATTTCAATTTTTTTGGGGTGAAAGTTATGATAGATAAGATTACCTGATTGGATGTTAAAGTGAGGATAAATGGGACAAAATACTTGGATATTGAGAAATGTTACTGTTCACTACCAGATTTTCATTTAGATATAAAAGAAAAGTAGATGAGGGAATAATTGGACATGAGGATACCATCCTTTCAGCTTTATGTGTAGAAATTTGATGTGCAGTGAAGGAAATGAATCCTATAAGACGAATACATGAGTTGAATGTTGAAATATAGAAACGAAGCTTTTCCAACCAAACTGATGCTGAGGGGACCAAACACCATGCGTGATGGACCTTTTGGGTGATGGACCTTATGTATGACCTTTCTGTAGACCTGAAACTTGGGCCATTCAAAAGCACATAAGTTGAGTTGAATAGCCTGAGCCAAGGCTATGTAAATGTTATAGACACGTCAGCTCTTGTAGAAAAAACAATTTTGTTGCATTCAAAAGGCAGGCCATCTAACATGAACTAGGACATTATCCATTACAAATATAGCAAATGATTTACATGCACTGATGTTTTTATAGCATTTGTAATCACTGTTTTTTCCACCATACCTTGGTTTTTCTTGATTTTGATATTGATTACTTTGGTTCTTGTCGAACTCTAGAAGCCATTCCCGTCACATTGTCCATATCATATCGTTTGATTACTTTCTTCTTGTACTTTGTTTTGCTGAAGTTTCAAAATCAATAGATTATTTTGCATGCTTAACTCTGGGAGTGTGCTCATGGGTAACTTCTCTCATGTATCAAAAGCAATAGTGTATGTAAGAGATGACATTGTAGTGTTCATTTCACTATACAAGCAACTGATGACTAAGATTTAATGTTGATTGTCAGAGTTGCTCCTCTTTCTGCTTGAGCTTCACTTCATTCTAGTGCATTGGTCGTACGACTTAGCTCTCATCTTGTGCACGTACTAAGTATCAAAACCTTGGGATCTAATAAAGGTGGTTGCCATTACAAAACTCAATCATTGAGATTACACTTCTCATAGGAGATAGCCTCGAATGAAGATAAAAAAAAGATGTTTCTTTCATGAATTTTGGACCTATCATGTCCCCATGTCAAACCCGGGCAAAACCATCATGGCAATTTTTTGGGTGGGTTACGATTTTGGTGAACTGTGATCTCAAAACCCACATCTGCTAGGTGATACCACTCCTAAGTTTAATTGGAGAAGGAGCGGGTTTTGGGTTTTTTTTTGGGGGGGTGGGGGGTGGGGGCGGGGGACGGGGTTAACTCTTATTTATTTTTGGGTTTTTTTTTGGGGGGGTGGGGGGTGGGGGCGGGGGACGGGGTTAACTCTTATTTATAAGTAGAGACCTCCTACTGACTCTTCAACTGTAGATGGAGTAAGATCTTCTCCGCATTTGCTGATTCAAACTTGAGGCTTCACACTAACCTACATATGTTGTAATTAGTGCAGAGAATGCTTGTAGTGTTCTTCCACACTGTCAATATCTAGACAGGGTTACATAGTGAACAACTTTAAGGAGTTTTCTAGATTTGGAGAAAGGTGTATAACCAAATTCACTCTATCTGTTGATTCATTGATTGTGCTCGTGGTCCGTATAGAACTTCATTAATGAAGATGGAAGTGTTAAGTAAATGGTATCTTCCAACTACTACTTTAGTAAGTGACAAATATGAGATCCTTAATGATTGTATCTTTGAATTCTGAGCTTTTGAAAGAGTAAGCTGTAATTCCTTTTCAAGGGATTCTTAGAGGTTGTTTTCAATTTATACTTTCGAATATGGGAAACTTTATATATATAGTCAATTAATCATGCCAAAACCTCAACATCATACATTAAGCAGCCTATTGATAGCTGTTAAATAGTCTTTGAAAAAGTCAATTAACTGCTGTAAGACAGCTACATTCATCCAGATCTAGTTGACTGTAAATAAGACCTATTGACAGTGTAGTTGAATAGAAGTTTCAACAAGACTCAACGGGTATACTCAGTAATTCCTTCTTAAAAAAAGAAAAGAAAAAGAAGAAGAAAAATATTTTTTTTTAAAAAAAGACGAAGGTCTGCAAACAACCAGTTGAACTCAATGGCATTGAGTTAGTTTTTGGGAGAATATATTAACATTTATTGATGACTATGTATCCATATCTTGTTTATAGTTTCTGATATTTCCATTAAGAATTTGATAATACTGCATGAAACTGTTTGAAAAAGGATTGTTTTATATATGTTTTTTCCTTAAAAAGACTGTTTATAAATAACCAAATAATTTATATAAAATGTGCTGGTGGAAAGAAATCAACAATTTAACTAAGACTAACATTGATATCTAATAAAAAGAGACATATAACCATTTTTTTGCTTATCAGGCTTGGATCCTTACAAGTTCACACCTAGATCATAAGTCCATTTTAAATCTCAGTTGCATGGAAACGGGTGTGGATATGGATGCTAGTACGGATACGGGTATGGGACACGGCAAGTTGGTAAAAGGTAGGGCATGGGGACATGACTATGTAAATATATACATATACGCACACATATATTACATATCGAAATTAATAATTTGCATGAAATTAATATTGTTTTTTCATTCATGTGTTATATGAATTAAAATTCCTATAATATTTTTATGGTTCTTTTATTATGTGGATTATAAATTGGAATACCATCATTTTATAGCTAGACACCCTAACAACCCTTTAAAATAATAGTTCGATACCCGACCTGTTCCTACGAGTTTTAGGGAGTGAATGTGAGCTGAAGGATATGCGTCCAAGAAGTTGATGAGAAGTGTTTTAATTAAAACATCTATTGCATAAGTGAGTACATGCCCGAATAAATGTATTCAAATATGCTAGGAGTGTCCGAGGAGTTTGGGTACGGATACCAGTACATGTATGCATCAGTACGGGTACAGCTTCAGTTAAGTGTATTGAGTTAACATAGATAAGAATCTTATTCTTTGTTTGAAAATAGATTTTCTTCACACACAAGCACATCTCGAAAGTAAAGTAGCTAATGTTTAGCTTTATTCGGCATGTTAAATTTTGTAATGGCATTGTAGATGTATTGTAAGCATTAACTAACTGGGACATGAAGTTATTGGAGACTTCTAGTAATTTTAGTTAGTAGTTATTTGCAATTTAATAGAGCTTAGAAATCCAATGCAAAATTAGGAATCTCCCATATGTTGCTACTACTACAAGAGTGGATTCTCAGTGCCCACAGTTCAATGAAACCACAATCACATGTCAGCATTAGTCATCGTGTTCTGCAAATAGATGAATATTGTTGTACTTCTTCACATCATTACCCATGATATGATATATAATTAATAACCATCCTCGTTCTCAGTCCGAGTAACCCTTTAAAGTGTGGGAATGTCATATTTCCTTGATATAAATAACCAAACCTGATAGTTAATATTCTAATGTTGCAAAACCAGTACATCCTCTATTTAGAGATGTCATTTGGTGTTGCCTAATTCATATTTTTGAGACTGCAGCTGTAAAAGAACCATGTATGTCATTATTTAATTGGTTAAAACTTTTTTATGCATCATAATAGCTACAAAATGTCTTTAACTATTTGAAATGGCATGGCAGTACTGTGTGTCTTCTTTTATCTCAACAGGAGACTAGAAAGTGTCAGGTTACATGTAGTTTTATTTGCATTATCTTATTCCATTGACAGGCTACCAATTTGATCTGTTCTTTTCAATGCAGGCTTTCAGTCAAGTGATAGGTTGTTCATGGCTTCTATTATCTGCATCAGAAGAGATGGGGTTTAACAGATTTGCCATTATATCAAGTTCTATTGGATTCATTTCTGTTTTAATTGGAGAATTAGGTTATCCATGCCATATTATGCACTGTGTTTATATTTTTTTTATTAGTAAGTCGTTATCAAATGTTGTTCTTCACATAATCCTTTTGCAATTTCCCAATTGCAAGGTCGTAGGCACAGTCGAGGGATTTTGTTGAGACTCTACACCATCATATCGTGTATTGCAACTGCGTTTTCAGTTGCATGTGTTGTCAGAACTGATTCGTTTGTCAAGGTAACAAGTTCTTGATCTTTTTTTTTTTGGTTGGGGGGGGG